AGCAGGCCGTATTTGTGATCCAGTCTGCCTTAATTTGTATTCCCCTAAGAGTCAGTTTGTGGCTTAGCCTCTGGGTGGCAGTGTTTTTGGGTTGGCCTCTGAGGCTATACAGCTTCTCTATCCTTTTTTAATCCTTACCCTGCTCTGTGTTGTTGGTGGGACTGAATGTCTCTCTATAGGCCAGACCCTGGTAACTCCCAGGGACTAATCAGCTTGTTTTAATCCTTTATCTCATACAGGGTGGAATCTGGGTGTGGCTGTGCTCCTTGCCTGGGGGGCTGGGGGGAGGAATTCCACCCTCTGGAGGGAATGGCTGCCCCAGTCCTGGGCCCAGGGGTGTCTCAGCACTCAATTCGCTGCCACCTCCTCCGGCTCCCCCTCTTTCCTCAGCCTCTCCCCAGATTCCCCTCGTCTGCACCTTCGCCCTCTCTTCAGCACAGGTGAGTGTCTGTATCCGAACTGTCCTATGAGCAGGGTTCAGTGAAAACAAAGAAACAGACAAACACCGGCCGGCCGCGGAAACGCTCCTCTCTTACCGGTCTGGGAAACGCTCCTCTCTTACCAGCACTCTGATCTTATTTTATGTACAACTTGATAAACTATTAGTTTATTAAAGAAATTTTTATCAAGTAGCATGCATGGTGCTATGCTTTTAAGTTGAGGGATACTACCTCAACCAGGTAATCAAGCTTAGCATTGTTAATGATCATTCACGTTGACAGCATGTGGTATTAATGAGAATGGCATTTTTTTTAACCTCTGTGATCTTCCTTCAAAAGTATAAAATGGTAACACCAGTGCAAACATAAAAATATACCAGAAACCCAAATTGAGAGTCTACAAAGTACTTAAGTACTCCTCAAAACTGTCAAGTTAATAAAAAACATGGAAGGTAAGAGAAATCGTCACAGACCAGTGGAAGCTAAGGAGACATGAAAATTAAGTGTAATGTGGTATCCTGAATGAAATTTCGGAATACAGCAGTAGAGAAAAAAACTAGTGAAATCTGAAAAATAATGTGTTTAGTTAATAATGTATCAATATTTCTTAGCTATGACAAATGTACTACAGCAGGGGTGGGCAACCTTTTTGTGCATGCCAAAACCAGCAAAATCTGACTCAAAATTCTTCTGCGTGCCAACCCTAATTTTTTGAGAGCATGTTACGCCTACTTAATATCTCTTAGGGTGTATGTATGTGAAGAAACTTGAATAATAAAATTCATTCGAGCGACAAAAACACAGTATATGATGATGAAAAATACATTTATTTTTTTAATGTATACATGTACACTGATAGTCCGACAGAAAACTTTATGACTCCATTTGATATTATCAGTGGGACTTTCGCTGCTGCATCACTGATGACATAGATTTTACATCAGGTTTACATTTCGTGACCTTCAGAGATATGCACGAGCTACTACTTTCACCGTCAGGCTACTCCTATTACGAGACTTAACAAAATTCATCACAGAGAACAAAGATTCACAGCGTATGTGGATGAAAACATGGAGAGTAACGCTGTTGCAAAGTTTTTTAAACAGAAAAAAATTTCTGGAATGGCATTCCAAGTCCTCAATAGTTCGTTTTCGACACTATTAAAATTGCTCTTCCCCTCTCTTGTCAGTCCATGTTTATGGTCTTTAAGATAACTTGTTATGTAAAATTATTTATTTATCTAAGATGCACCTCCACTGAATTTATCTGAAAAATAAAAAAGTTGATATTAAGAAAAAAATTGTAAATGGAAGATTATAAGAGAGGGTTTCCATTACCAGCAAAAGTTACTGGTGTGCCATGTTTGGCACGCGTGCCAGGGGTTGCCCACCCCTGTACTAGAGTAATAAAAGATGTTAATAAGGGAACTGTGTGAGGAATATATAGGGATTATTTATTATTTTAACTTTTCTTTAAATTTACAACTATTCCAGAATGAAGTTAATTTTCTAAAAATTTAAAGTACTTTAGTTTTCTAGAAATCAATAATTTTCTGAAAAATCAAGCATGTAGAGATACCTTTAATTCATTTCCCTTTTGGCCCGGTACAACGAACTCACATTGTGGCAGAGACTGAGGAGGGACAAACATATTCTCTTAGTTACTGGAACTCTCCTGCCACCAGGAGTGCTAACCCAGTCTCTGGTGTGCTAGCCCGGGTGGTACTATCAGCTTCATCTCCTGGCCTTTTTCTATGGCAGTGATGCCACCAAGTAAAGCAATGATAAGCCAGTCAAAGAAATACCTGTTTTCCAATTAATGGTAAAGAACAAACAAACAAAAACACATAATGTTCCCTCACATAATATTAATAGAAGATAGGGAACAGAAAATTTACTCAGGGAATCAATTGACATTGTCTACATAATCTACCAGATCACACTTGCAGAAAGCAACATGCCCAGTGTTGAGAGAAATTTTTAGCGGTTCAGGTTTTAAAAATGAGAAATTCGTTTCTTTTCTTCTCTGTACTGACCAAACCATGTAGCCTGAAATTAGGACAGATTGAACAAATATTTTCTTGGCTAAGACTATACTATATTGTTCCCCCCCCCCCAAAAAAAAAGCGAGTTCTTTTCAATACTAATGCAGTGCTTCTGACATGAAAGTAGCCCTGATTTCATTCTAATTCTACAACCTCCTATCCAAGCAGGGCAAAAATCAACTAGTTTGCAATGCTGCAGTATCAGCAAGCATCGTGGGACTGGGAAAAGATCCTATACCGGATACTCAGGCTACATGCATACAAGAGAGCTAAGACTTGCTTAATAATCACTCAGTGCAAAAGGAACCACTAAAATGGCATAAAATGAAGCCCAAATGACTATGTAAGAATCAACATCCACCACACACACAAAGAATCCTTGAGAAATCTTATGGTCCTAAAAAACAGGGCCAGACCAATGGTCAGATATCCCAGGCAGGCCAACATCGAACAGCATCAAGCTGAGGGGAGGCAAAGAAGAAGCACATAGACCAGTGGTTCTCAACCTTGGCTGCACATTAGAATCACCCGAGAATCTTTTTAAAATCCTGATTTCTGGGCCTCATCCTCAGGAAATTCTGTTTCTTTGTTACTAATGTTGTGGCCCCACCCCATAACAAAGAAACAGAAATTCCGAAGGATGAGGCCCAGAAATCAGGATTTTAAAAAGATTCCCAGGTGATTCTAATGTGTAGCCAAGGTTGAGAACTAACAGAGTGTTGCTCAGAAAAGTTAACGAGTCCAGACCAGGTTCAGCTACTGCCTTCTATTGTCACACAGACGCACAGATGTACGCATAACTCAGAGACCAGTCACAAACATTTATTAGTGTTGTCCACAGAATTCAAGCTATTCTTCCATCTTTAAAATGTCCACAGTGAGTTTGTGGACAAATATTTTCTATAAAACTTAATATAATAAAGCAAATTTTAGTACATCAGTTCAAGGTGATGATTTTACTCATTTCTGAAACTGACATTTTCTTAAAAAAAATTATCTGTTGCAAACTCAATGTGTTAGAAATGTCACAACAAAATACAAGGTTTTAGTCTAATCTTAATTGTTTGATGTTTAATAAAGTTCACTGGGAAGTAAAGGCCTTTGTGTTTTTCCCTGAGATTTCTCTCATTTTTAATGAGGTTGTCTGATCATTCAGGATCATTGATAGAAGTTGCCTTCCTCATGTGAGTTCTATAATATACAATGACAGATTGAATTATGATAGATCTTCTGACATTTATTATATTTACAGAGTTTGTGAACCCTCAAAGGAAAAAAAGACACCTATTAAGAAGGGCTTCTGGTGGCTACCTTGGCTCAAACAAACAAACAAAAAAAGCAGAGCCAGCAGCCATTTCTGCAAAGGGGATTTTTATGCAAACTGCTCAGCACTAAACTGCCATTGGCTGAGCCAGCCCTTATGATGGTTTCCTGGAATCCTATTTCTACCAATTGGATTGAGGCTTTCTCCATTCAATCAGAGCAGCTCTATTCTGACCAATCAAGACCAGTGCCTTTGGACCAAACTGTGAGGATTTGGATGCCTCATGTGCAAGAGGACAGACCAATCAGGGACCAGAGGCAGGGACTTCTGTCCATTTAAGCCAGCTTCCCTCTGGCTTGGGGAGCGAACTTTCCACTGAAGACCGTTTTTCCCCAGCTACAGTAGAAACATGGGAGATGCCTCGTTGGAGCAGACCAGAGCTGCCTGGCCAAAGACAGTCCTGGCCCAAGGGTGACGAAGCCCCTGCTGTTTTCACAGCTGCACTGCATCATAACTGAGCTATTCCTCAGCTGTGCTATTTTCACAGCCATGCTATAGCACTGAGGCAAGTTTCCTTCCTCACTGCACCCCAAATCAGGGATTCCTGTTGGTGCTGAATTGGCACCAACGACCCAGGGTTAACAGGTTTAACTTCATTCTAACAGAGTTAGATAAATTATATGCATTTAACCAATACACCAAATCTTTAAGAGCTCAACACAGTACAAATGTAATTCCTGTGTTTTTTTTTTTAAAAAAAACTAACAGGGGAAGATTTGTTAGTGGAAAATTGTTTCATCACTACCTTGTACTCTATCTCAATATACAGCACACAAGTCTGCCTTGCAAATTTTTCCATTCCAGTATGAATAACAGAACAGGAAGAATGCAATTTTTTAAAGGCTAAACTTAGCTGATATGTAATAGCATAATAATCCATGACAAGCCCCACCTGGATGAAAGGCAGATTGGGAAATTTAGACATGCTTGTGCCTATTAGAAGAAGAAATAGTTAAAGGAAACAATATGCAGTCTGTGTTTTAATAATCAGTTTCTTCAGAACTTCCCAAAGGCATTACATTGAAGGTTTTTCTCTCTGGTGTGCCTTCTGTTATAATGTGCTCGAAGACCTGCCTTATGAGCGAAAGTTTTCCCACATTCACTACATTCAAGTGGTTTTTCCCCAGTGTGAATTCTCTGGTGCTCACTGAGAGTTGAACTGTGGGCAAAAGCTGTCCCACATTCATTACACTCGTAAGGTTTCTCCCCTGTGTGAATTCTCTGATGTGCCCTCAGACCAGAACTACGGGCAAAAAACTTCCCACATTCACTGCATTCATACGGTTTCTCACCTGTGTGAATTCTCCGATGGGTACTGAGGTTTGTCTTACGGGAAAAAGTTTTCCCACATGCATTACATTCATAGGGTTTCTCCCCTGTGTGAATTCTCTGATGTGCACTGAGGTGTATCTTCCTGGAAAAAGTTTTCCCACATGCATTACATTCATAGGGTTTCTCCCCTGTATGAATTCTCTGATGTGCACTGAGGTGTATCTTCCTGGAAAAAGTTTTCCCACATGCATTACATTCATAGGGTTTCTCCCCTGTGTGAATTCTCTGATGTGCACTGAGGTGTGATGTCTTGGAGAAAGTTTTCCCACATGCATTACAATCATATGGCTTCTCCCCAGTGTGAATTCTTTGATGTACTCGGAGGGCTGAATTATGAGTGAAACTTTTCCCACATACATTGCATTCATAGGGTTTCTCCCCTGTGTGAATTCTCTGATGTGCACTGAGATGTGATGTCTTGAAGAAAGTTTTCCCACATGCATTACATTCATATGGCTTCTCCCCAGTGTGCATTCTTTGATGTACTCGGAGGGCTGAATTATAAGTGAAAGTTTTCCCACATGCATTACATTCATACAGTTTCTCACCTGTGTGAATTCTCTGATGAGTACCGAGGTGTGTCCTCTGGGGAAAAGTTTTCCCACATGCATTACATTCATAGGGTTTCTCCCCTGTATGAATTCTCTGATGTGCACTGAGGTGTGTCTTGTTAGAGAAAGTTCTCCCACATGCAATACATTCATGGGGCTTTTTGCCTGTGTGAATTCTCTTATGTGCTCTGAGATGTGATGTCTTAGAGAAAGTTTTCCCACATTCAATACATTCATTTGGTTTCTCCCCTGTGTGAATTCTCTGATGTTCTTTGAGCTGTGCCATCCTGGAGAATGATTTCCCATATTCATTACTTTGATAGAGTTCCACCTCTGTGTGTGTTCTCTGATGTACTAAGAGGGCGCACTTCTTGTAAGATTCCCCACATTCATTGTTATAAGGTTTCTCTTTTGTGTGAACTGTCAGATGTTCACTGAGGTTTGACATCTGACAGGAAGTTTTCTCACATTCATTATATTCATAGAGACAGGCCCCCATATGAGTTCCAGGATAATGACTAGTGTGTGAATTTGAACAGAAGAATTTCCCACACTCCTCACATTCACAAGTCTTCTCCTCTGAGTGGGTCCTCTGTTGCTGAATGAGGTGTGCTTTCTGGTAAAAGAACTTCCTGCATTCATTACTTTCAAATGCCTTCTCTCCTATGTCATTTTCCTGATGTACACTGAAAAGTGAGTTTTGATGCAAGGATTCCCCACGTTTACCACATTGGTAGAATTTCTCTTCTGTCTGAGTTCTCTGATGTATTGTAAGGTCTAAGTCCTGGTAGGAGGCACTTGTACATCCATTAAAAACACAGACCTTATCTCCAGTTTGTGTCTTCTGATGTACCAGATGGGCTGAGCTTTGGGTCAAGTTTTCTTCACATTTACTGCTTTCAAAAGCACCATGTCTTGTAACAGTTCTCTGAGGTTGAATGAGGAGTAAATTCCTGTTGAAATTATTTCCACTTTCATTACATTCATAGTGTGTCACAGTCATCTGAACTTCATCGTATTCCTCAATGGTGGCTTTGTCACAGGATCTCCCACATTCATTAAGATCAAAGCATTTCTCCCTTGAACCAGTTCCCCTGTGGTTAAACAGAGTTGCGTTATCACAGCTTTTCCAAAATACATCATCCTTACATGATTCCTTTCCTGTTAGGGAAATTTTAACTATAACACAGACAAGTGTTATCATGTAAAACTTTTCCGAATTCATTACATTCAAAAGGTTGCTCCAGAGTTGGAAATTTCAGATGATCTTTATTATGACTGAGAGCGTTCATATTTTTATACTCCTAAGGCCTCTCTTCAGGATGAGCTTTCTCATGTTTGATATCAAGCTGCGACTTTTCACATATATTTATGTAATCAACCAGCTTTCTTGAATAGTTCCTATCATTAACAATTAAGTCAGAAACAAGTGGCAACTTCATTCTACGTGAGTCACATTCACAGGACATTTTTCCTGAATAATCTGCAGTTAATCCAGATTAATTGGTTTTCCTAAAACTATCTGCCTTTCTTTACTCAGTGGTTTATTATCAATGAATATTACTTGCCAAAGAGGTTTCTCTTGTTTTTCTTGGTTCTCCTCAATGTGGACATCAACTTTGTAATATCCTAAAATTAGAAACATTGAAAACATCTTATGAATCTTACATTTCTTATTATGAGGAGCTTATAATCATGTTTTATTATGCTTTGTATTGTTTCTAGTCATGTTTTCAAAGATTAATAATTCCATGCACACAGACAGAAACACAAGACACACACTCTTTCTCTCTGCTCATCTAAGTTGTTTAAAAAAACAGAATTACTCCCAGTGCTAGTCAAAATGGAGCAGCCCCATTCTTCCAGGTCCTCCCTCTTGCAGTTAAAAAATCCCTAGGGAAAAAACCTCTCAGCAAAGTGGGAATAGAGGGATCATGCCTCAACATAATAAAAGCCATATGTGACAAACCTACAGCCAACATCATACTCAATGGGCTAAACTAAAACCATTTCCCCTAAGAATAGGAATGAGACAGGGATGTCTGCTTTCACCACTTTTGTTCAACATAGTACTAACAGTCCTAACCATAGCAATCAGACAAGAAGAAAAAAACAAAAAGCATCCAAGTTGAAAAAGAGAAAATAAAACTGTTATTATTCGCAGGTGATATGATAGTGTACATAGAAAACCCGAAAGACTCCATCAAAAAACAATTCTCGGGAGGAGGGGAGAGTGTGGGGTGTAGGAAGAGATTGGACAAAAATCTTACACCTTTGGATGAGGACATGGCGGGGGGTAAGGGCATGGGGTTGGGTGGGAACCAGGTGAAGCGGAGCTATGGGGGGGAAAAAGAGGAACATCTGTAATAATCTGAACAATAAAGATTTATTTTAAAAAACTACTAGATTTAATAAACGAATTTGAAAGTGTAGCAGGAAACAAAATTAACACCCAAAAATTGATGGCATTTTTATAGACCAACAATAAAATCTCAGAAAGAGAAACAAAAAACAATCCCAGCTACCATTGCAACAAAAAAAATTAAGATACTTAGGAATAAACTTAACCAAGATGGTAAAACACCTGTACTTGGAAAACTACAGGATGCCGATAAAGAGTTAGAGGAAGATATACACAAGCAGAAGAATATACTGTGTTCATTGATTGGTAGAATCAACATTCTTAAAAATGTCCATACTGCCCAAAGCACTCTATAAATTCAATGCAATCCCTATTAAAATACCAAGAGCATAGTTCACAGATCTAGAACAAACACTCCAAAAATTTATAGGGAACCAAAAAAGACCCCAAATATCCGCAGCAATCCTGAGAAAGAACAATGTTGAAGAAATCACAATACCAGGTATCAAGTTATACTACTCAAAATAGTCTAGAACTGGCACAAGAACAGGCATATAGGTCAATGGGATGGAATAGAGAACCCAGAAATTTACCCAAGCCATTATGCTCAATTACTATTTAACAAAGGAGGCAAGAGCATACAATTGAGTCAAGAGAGTCTCTTCAATAAATGGTGTTGGGAAAATTGGACAGGGACATGCAAAAAAAATGAAACTAGACCTCAAACTTACACCATACACAAAAATAAACTCAAAATTAATAAAAGACTTAAGTATAAGACATGAAACCATAAAAATCCTAGAAGAAACCAAAGGCAGCAAAGTCACAGGCATCTCTCATAGTAATATGTTTACCGATTCATCTCCAAGGGCAAAGGAAACTAAGGAGAAAATAAACAAATGAAACACTATCAAAATAAAAAGCTTCTGCACATCAAAAGAAACCATCAACAAAATGACAAGAGAGCTCACTGCATGGGAGAACATTTTGCCAATGATACATCTGATAAGGAGTTAATTTCCAAAATATACAGGGAACTCATACAACTTAACAAAAGGAAGACAATCCAATTTAAAAATGGGCAGAGAACCTAAATAGACACTTCTCCAAAGTGAACACATAGGTAAAGGATACTTGGAATCGGAGAAGCAAGATGGCGGCGATATAGGCAGACGCGTCCCAGGTCTTGTCCCGGAGCAAATGTAGTAAGCAGCTGAAACTAATAACACCCACCCCGAATTGGCGAAATTACTCAGCTGGTGAGACAGTTTGCAGCCGGGAAGGGCAGAGCTCCCCTGGAAAGGTAAAAAACCAGGGATCTGGGCAGGAAAGTTTGCCAGACCTCTGAGCCCAGAGGGTCGGAGGGAGACCGAGTGGCAGACAGCCCCTGACTGGGGAAAGGAGTTCCTCGGGATTCCTGGCACTGGGGTATTTGAGATTTGGATTCTGTGATTACGGAGGACTGAGCCTAAAGGGGGCAGCCTGAGGAGCTGACCAGATCATGCAGTGCTGGTAAGAGAGGAGCGTTTCCGCGGCCAGCTGGCGTTTGTTTGTTTCTTTGTTTTCACTGAACCCTGCTCATAGGACAGTTCGGATACAGACACTCACCTGTGCTGAAGAGAGGGAGAAGGTGCGGACGAGTGGAATCTGGGGAGAGGCTGAGGAGAGAGGGGGGGCCGGGAGAGGTGACAAAGAATTGAGTGCTGAGACACCCCTGGGCCCAGGACTGGGGCAGCCATTCTCTCCAGAGGGTGGAATTCCTCCCCCAACCCCCCAGGCAAGGAGCACAGCCACACCCAGATTCCACCCTCTACGAGATAAAGGATTAAAATAATCTCATTAGTCCCTGGGAGTTACCAGGGTCTCGCCTATAGAGGGACTTTCAGTCCCACCAACAACACAGAGCAGGGTAAGGATTATTTAAGAACCAGCTCTGGGCAGTTGCCCTCCCCAAACCAGTTTTAAGTGCAATAGAAAAAATAAATCCTTGCTGTTGGGTAGAGAAGCCGTATAGCCTCAGAGGCCAACCCAAAAACACTGCCACCCAGAGGCTGAGCCACAAACTGACTCTTAGGTGAACACAAATTAAGGCAGTCTGGATCACAAATACAGCCTGCTTTAAAATCAGGACTGTGATTTACAACACGGAGGAACAGTGTATCGAAGGGAAATTCAACACTCTCCTGAATACCTGGCAGGACTAAGGCGAGCCAGGCTGAAGAGTACAAGAACCGAAAGACCTTCACTACTGCAAATTTTTTTTTCCTTTTTCGCCTTTTAACTAAGAAACCAATTTTTTTCTTTTTCTTCTTTTTCCATCACCTGATTTTACCCTTTTAATTACTACATTTTTATTTTTAACCAGTATTATTACTGCTACCATTTTACCATTTTTTAAAGCGCCATTTTATTTTCTTTTTTTTTTTATTTTGGGAGTAGTGTTCTCCATTCTATTTTCATCGTTCCTTTAGCATTAATTTTCCCTACCTCAATTTTACCTCTATACTAAAACGCTCTTCCTCACTTTTCCCCATTTGGTGTCCTGTTTCTCTTACCCTATTCCTGCTTTAGATTTTCCCTATTCCGTCTTTTTACCCCCTGTCTAATTTCACCCTACTTATATATCCTATTTCCAATCCACTGCTCTAAATCCTTATACACCTATCCCTTATCCTTCTTCACTATCCAAACATTTTTTTTCTCTTATCTTTCTATTGTTTTCTTGCTGTTTGCTTGATTGTTGAATATATTGTGTTTTTTTTGTTTGTCTGTGTTTTTTTTTTTTTGCTTGTTTTGTTTTGTGTTTTTTTTTTCTTTTTTAGGACTGGTTGTGAGGTTGTTTTTCTTTTTCTTTTTATTTTTTTCTGCTGGTTTTCCCCCTCCCTCCCCTCCCCCACCCCCCGACTATTTTTGTGCTTCTGTTTTCCCTTGCCTCTCTTGATATCATTGGTTGTTTGTAGTTTGCATTCATCTCCAGGGATCTGTTGCTGGAATTTGTTGGGATTAGTGGCAGTTCTATCGGAGTTTTCTCCTCATACAAATAGTCTCTTCCCCTCTTCTACTTCACTCTCTCTTTTCGCTCTTTTTTTTCTTCTTTTTTTCCCCCCCTCTTTTTTCCCAATTCCATTTTTGCACTCCTTTTTTGTTTTTATTTCTTATTTTTCTTTTCTTTTTTCTCTTTTCTCTTCTTCTCTTCTTTCTTCCTTATCCCCTAATTCTCTTAATTCGGGTGGTCACCTTTATTTGGGGTTATTAATATCGTGAATATATTTGTGTTCAGTCCCTGGTACGTTGTGCCTTGTTGTGTTGTATTTTGTGCCTTTAAATCAACGCAGCAGATCCAAGCAACAGCAGCCTCCTGATCACCACACCCTCTGTCTGAGGAACAGCAGCTGTACGTGAAGCCTCCCCCCACCAGCCAGAAGAGCCACCACAGCTGTGAACAGCACCCACCAGAGGAGCTGCTGCCAACTGAGGAGCAGCTGCTACCGCAACCTCCCGAGGAGCAACCACAGCCCAAGGAGCCACTGCCACCCAGGGAGCAGCCACTGAACGACTCAACATCTAGATATGTCAGTGAGATCAAACATGGGTAGGCAAAGAAACCCCCAAAGGAAAGAAAAGGAGGACTCGCCAGAAAAGCAGCTAAGTGATACAGAGGCATGCAACATGACAGAAAAAGAATTCAGAATAAGGGTCCTAGAGTGCATACACCGGACGGAGGAAAAAGTCAACAACTTATGCAAGAAGCAAGAAGAAACAGATGAAAAAATGGATAACTTATGTAAGACCCAAGAAGAAATGAAGAGCGATATAGCTGCAATAAAAAACACCAATTGAAAGCATCAACAGTAGACTAGGAGAGTGGAGGACCGAATTAGTGAATTAGAGACAAGGAAGCAAAACACACCCAAACTGTACTGCAATTG